GCCTGGTTTGTGGTTTTTAGGTGTATAGACTGAAGTTCTCTGGTGACCTGTAATCGTTTTTCTTTGGCGCCAAAGACTATTACCTCAGTTTTGTTTTTGTTTAGCTGGAGAAAATTGTGGCACAACCAGTCATTAATTTCCTCAATGCATTTACCAAGAGCCGTGCAGCCGTGCAGGTAGCAAATAAAACCTCTTCAGTGCCCAAAGTGGGAAGATTGTCCTTGATGTTTGTGAAAGGAGGCACTAGGAGAGTTGCAGCACACAAATAAATCAGCATGCAAGCAGGATGGTGAAAGTAACTCTGTCTCACATACAAACACAAGAGTATTTTAAAATAAAGAAAAAAAAAGTTTACTATACAGAGAAGGTTAAGAGGAATCTCAGTCTTCTGATTTCCACTGGGAAACAAGGTGAAGATGCACATGTAGCTGCCTTCATCCTTCGGGGTAACATTGGATAACTGGAGAGTTCGATTTTTGTCATTAAAATTCCCGATTTATTTAAATCAATCGTCACGTTCACTGACACACTGTGGTCCATCTCTGGGTAAGATAGTTAGAAAATTGTCATTGTGAGGTTTTTCTCTCATCCTCCTCTGCCAGGTAATCTGTGTCAGGTCATCATTGGTGTCAATGACATGACACGGTAGGATAGCAGTACCTCCTTGTTCCACTGTCACACTTCCACCAATCACCTGGAGAGCTGTAAAAAGCATTCAGATCAAAATTTAATGAATTATTTTGTGTGTGTATGTGTGTGTGTGAAAGAGGTTGGGGGCCTTGCTTCATCTTTCAATCTATCTGTTAGATCTCCATGAGCACTCAATCAAGATAAGCCTACAATGAGGTGAAAATGGGAGAAAAAACAAAATACACATACGCAGTAGCGGTTCTCTGGCTGGCGCAGCGTCTAATAACTAACTCGCAAAATAAAACAAAAATAAAAACAAACCAACAAACACGAAAACACCAGACATTATGATGCAGACTTATAATTTGCACCGAGGTTTTTTCGAAATTCTGTACGCGAAAAGTGAGCGAGAGCCCTCGGTGCGCCTGCTCGGTGCTGAAGTCAAAGTAAACTTTACTGTCATCTCCACTAGTCCAGTATATAGAGAGACGAGACGACGAGGCTCCAGTTACAGCAGTGCAAGTAAACAAACAATAAATATAAGAAGAGTAAGAAAATAAATATACACTTTAGGACTAGGGGTAAAGGCATCAATAACAATTTAAAATTTATAACTTACAGTTTGATGATTTAAAGTCTCACACACAACCTGTCGAAAGGGGAGGGGGACCAGCTGCTTCCAAATAGAGCACATTTCATTCATAATGATGTAAATCCAAG